GGGGCAGCAACTGGCCAGCCCCTGTCTTGCCCTCCACCCCTTGGGACCCAGGTTGGGGGTGGGATCTGAACTGCGCAGCAGGGGCAGCAGCAGCTCTCAAGACAGGGGCGTTGGGCTGCTGGGCAGGCCTTTGAAGTGCCCACTCCTGCATCCAGCCCTGCCTTGGCGGCTTGTCTGCAGGGAGCAAGTGGCCCACCAGCGCCAGACTTGCCGCATGGGGCTGTGCACTCCCACCCCAGCCCAGTGTCTCCCTAGCATGGTGCCCAGGGGCAACTACCCCCCGCCCCCGGCCTTATGTCACTACACCACTGGAGGGTGGTAGGGTGCAGGGGTGGGCTGGGGGTCAGAGGACAGGGCAGGAGATAGGGGGCAAGAGCACAATGGGGGTGTGGGGTCTGGGCAGGAAGGTGGATGCAGGAGCAGGCTGGGGATGAGGAGGTCTGGGAGGGAAGGGGGTGCAGAAGCCACTTCTTCCCCCTTCCAGGCATAGCTAATGGGTCAGATCTGGACCCAGCTTGCATAGCTCTGGTCTGAGTGGGGAGCAAGCGCTGGCCCCCCAGGGAGTTTGTGGGAGGACTGCAGGGCTAGAGCACTATCATCAGTTCCCCAATGCTGAAGGGGGGAGCCCCAAGCCTCAGGGACTGGATCCAGGCAAACTGGGAGCTGGATCCAGCCTTTAGGCCTTAGGTTCCCCACCCCTGGAAGATAGTAATCAGAGGTACCAGGTGCTGTCATTGTTTGTGACATCACCTAGCCACCATCAGATTGTAATAACTTCTGGGCCTGTAGTGCCAAATTTATTCTGGACAAAAAAGGGTTTCGTCTTATAACCTGAGCCCCCTCGTTACCATAACAGTTGGTCACTATGGATACATGAGGCTCATATTCCAGGGAGAGCTGAGACCACCCCTTTGTGTTCCCAGCTCCTGCCAGCATGGAGTGCGTGACACTGAGTTGCTGCAGGATCCTTTCCTTGTAAATTTCTTATCTTCAACATTTGAAATTATTCTGAGCCTGCATTTAGGACTGTGCTTTGTTAGCTTTACTTGCTCCCTTCATCACTCCTTCAGCTTCTCCATAAACCATTCTCCTCCTGCGTGGCTTTCCTAAAATTCCACTTAAATCTGTTTCCACTCCTTGTTTGCTTTACTGTCTGAACAGAACAAACTATTGGATCAGTCAGAATGCTTTCCGGGGATGTGGAAATAATGTTATAAAAACATACAAGTGTCTCATAACAGAGCTGGGAGCAAAATATTGAGCAAGCCTGCATTGTGCAAATTTGCATACACTAGTGCTCAGCCAATCCCCAGTCATGACTTGCAGTGCCCCCTGCTAGTCAACTTCTGTTGTGCTGATTCACAACTGGGAGGTGGGTTTAATCTCTGTTCACCTCAAGCTAAACAGCTGTGTGCTACTATGCAGCCATTCTGGCTGTATTTCAGTGTCTTGCCAGTGATCTCTGCCTAGGCTGTAGAATTATGGGTTATCTTATTTCATGTAGCATTTGTGTCCTACATATTTTTGTTGTGGTTCTTTTCAGAATACACTTCAAAAGCTTCATTCAAAAATAAGAGGTTTTTTTCAAGTCAGTAAAAGGAAACTACACTGAAAAATACAGGCTCAACTGTTTTCAATCTATCAGTGGAGTTTGTAAAGTGCTTTGGGGATGAAAAGTGTGATGTAGATAAAAACAATCATTTTTATTTCTGTTATCTTCAAAGTACCAGAGTTTGGCTGGAAAGGTTCAGTTCAAAACCCCTTTGTTTCTCCATTTTGTCATGATCTATCATGTCTTTGCATGATCGGGTCCGCTTTAATGTGTCTCAGCAGAGAACTGCAATATAAAGGTAGCTACTGAAGATACTTTTGCAAACTATTTCATTTGTATAAACTCTAATTTAGAATTAACGGGTGCCAGCAGTTCACCTTAAAATATAAAGCTCTTAGGCTACGTCTAACTGGCGCATTCTCACGCAAAAACTCTTTTGCGGAAGAGTACTTCTGCAAAAATTCTTCCAGAAGAGAGCGTCTACACTGGCATGTGCTTTTGCGCAAGAGCATCCATGCCCGTGTAGACTCTCTCTCTTGAGCAAGAAAGCTCTGGTGGTCATTTTAACCATAGGGCTTGCTTGCGCAAGGAATTCATGTTGCCTGTCTACACTACCTCTTGAGCAAGAACAGTTGCGCAAAAGGGCTTATTCCTGAGCGGGAGCATCAGAGTTCTGATGCAAGAAGCCCTGATTTCATACATTAGAACATCAGTTTACTTGCACAAGAACACGCGGCCAGTGTAGACAGGCAGAAATTTTTGCGTAAGAGCAGCCGCTTTTGTGCAAGATCGCACCAGTGTAGAGACAGCCTTAGTGTCTGAAAGTAGAAATGTTTCCTCTCTCAAAATTTCTCCCATCTCTCCCATTCCAAAACACCTCAAAGAATCTAGGGCGATCCAGGAAACATTCTGATAGGCAGCTACTGGGATGAAGTTTGGCACTGCAATGTTGATTGGCCAGTGGCTTTATCACTGTTGAGAGGGACATTTAATTTGCACTGCTGAGATAAGAATGGCCCTTACAAAGGGAAGTGGGGAAAACCCACACATTGTGATCACTTTTTATTAGTCTCAGATTTTGCTGTTGCTGCAGACCATATGGGTCAGATTTGTGCAACACTTTCCAAGGTGCTGGCAAAAACAGGGACAGGAGTTTAATGTATCAATTTAAACATACATTCCAGAAAGGTAAAACAGCTGAAACAGAATCTGTCCCAAAACAAAGTGTTGTAACTTCCCTTTGTGCAGTGTGTGAAAGTGAATGGAAGACAGGGAGAGTATATAAAGGCATGTGATAGGGTCAATCTATCTTCCATGTTACACACACCTTGATAGAAACTCCCTTGCAGCAGCAGCAACAAAATTCATGGGAGGCGGAAAGCAGTTTTTAAAATCTGTAAGAAAATCTTTTAACAGATTTAGATTTTAAACATATTTGAAAAAAAGTAAATATCAGCTGGGATTGTCAATCTCTTAGTCATGTTGCTACCCAGAAGAAAGGAGTGAAACCAAATAGCCCATGTCGCACCATTCTACAAATATGCCTTCATGTGCCTGAAGGCTTCTAAAAGTCCCATCAAATGCAACTCTTTGCCTCTTGCACTCCTTCCCTTCCCCTTCAAATGACACTGGTCTTCAGTAAGCACCTTCTACTAATGTAATTTTTCCCTTTGGTCTTAAATGGTGAAGGAAGAAAAATAAATTGATAGAGCTGGATGGGACTGCGGGAGTGGGGCGGGAGAAGCTTATTTCTCTGCTGTGAAATTATGGGCGGAGTCCTAACAGTACACAAGGTTGCTTTGTCTACTTGGGCGTGAATGGTCTTCGTCCCATTCTTTCTTTCTGTGGACACATGCATCAGAACTACCCAAAACCCCTCTAAGCTAATATTTGGTCATGTCCCCAGCCATAAATCAATCTCTTAACTAACAAAAATCCTTGGTTATCCAAATGGTTTGGGGAACCTCTAAATATTTCAGATAAGTGGGGTAGTTTGTGTGTAAATACATGGATCTGAACCAGAACCCCAGAATAGGCTGAGCCACAATATTTGGGGGCAGGGGGGCGGCGAGAGGGGAATGATTCAGCCAATCTCCTGTTTTTTAATAATTAATTAAAAAATGTAACTAGTGACTGGAATTTTGTTGGCTAATGGGAGGGTGCAACAGAGATTCAGGGAGGGGAAGGGGGAAGTTGTTACATACTTATCTGTTGCAGAAATTACCCTAGTACTGTCTGCACTGTATTCTGTTTGCACATCTTAATTGCTTTCATTGGAATGTTGGCATTAAAATACCCTACAGTGATACACTGGAAAGAGATGGGGCTGTGAGATTGGATGTGAGGTGGGCAATAGTTGTCACTGCCCCAACTGCACCCCAGAACGGTAACCAATACATTATACACAGTCCACAAAGCCGCTCCTCCTGCCCTGTTCTCCAGTTCAGAGAGCTGATGGAAAATGTCTCCTCTCAAATACAGCTCTTTAGCAAGCCAAGTGAAGTCTAGGTCACCTATGGTCAGAGGGCTTGGCTCTTCAGAGTTCCTCTTTTTCCTCCTCATTACAAATGCAGGCACTTCTTTGGCTGTTCATGAAGGGTCGGCAGCCCAGAGTCCAGACAGTGTTAAACACTGTATCTGCTACAGATTCGCATGCTGTCAGGAGGGAAAAGAACAGGGTACATCAGCAGTGGTCACACTTCCATTGCTTGTTAAAATAGTCCCAGGACTGGCTTACAAGCCAACTGTTAATTGTGTGGGTCGGAGGGGTAGCCATACTGGTCTGTAAATTTAAAAACAAGTTGTCCTGTGGCACCTTAGAAACTAACATATATATTCTATATATAACGTGTGTGTGTGTATGTGTGTGTGTGGTGAGCTTTCATGGGCAAAACCCACTTCTTCAGATGAGCACATCATCTAGCCTTTGTGGGTGTCATCCTGGCAGAACCTAGCACACAGGACAAAAGGATTCAAGTCAGCTTTTCAGAGGACAGGTCTACACGATGGACACTTCACACCCCTGACACAGCTGTGCAGGGTGAAGTATGAGCTCTGATACAGCTTCTCTGGTAAAAGCCCCTATTGTAGTGTAGACTGTCATACTGGCAAAACTCACTTTAGCAGCTCAGTAATAGAGATGTAGCCATGTTAGTCTGGTCTTGCTGAAACAAAATACAGGACTATACAGCACTTTAAAGACTAACAAGATGGTTTATTAGGTGATGAGCGTTCATGAGCCAGACCCACTTCCTCAGATCAAATTGTGGAAGAAAATTGGCATGACCATATATACCAAAGGGATACAATAAAAAAAAGTGAACACATATAAAATTGACGAATCAGATTTTAGAATGGGGGTGGTGAGGGGGGGAGGTTAGTGTCTATGAGATAATGATATTAGGAGTGATATTTGGGGAAGCTATCTTTGTAATGGGTAAGATAGTTAGCATCTTTGTTAAGGCCCATTCGTAAAGTGTCAAATTTAAGCATGAATGACAGTTCTGAGGTTTCCCTTTGTAGTCTGGTATTAAAGTCACAGCACAGTTTGTTTCATGTGGGAAGGGGCTGGAATAAGCTATTCTGCCAAAGCGGTGTGCACATTTGGAATGCTTGGCCAGTACGGTGTAACAATTTAGCTACGCTGCTGAAGTGCTGTTAAAGTAGATCTCGGCTGGGTTGCTAGAGAGAACAAACAAAAGACAGCCAGAGCTCTAAAAACCTGTGCTCATAAGTTTGGATCTGTGCAGCCAGTAACTTTGTGTGGGGATGGGTGGGAGAGGAGTTCTCCTACACACACGCACCCAGAACCTCACATCTATTGACCTCTGACTGAGGAGTGCTGTTCACAGCAATTTCTGAGCTACTCATGGAGGTAGGTATTGTGGGAGTGTCAATTAAAAGCAGAAGTTCCTGCTTGCATCACCCCCCGCATAGGGTCTAGCTACCCTGCAACTCTGCCACTAAGTTCAAGTCCATGACCAGAATGGGTGTTTCTTTGCTCATCTCTTTGCATCTCAGATCCTGAAATACCACTTCCTGCCCACCGAGCCAACAAGATTGGCCAGTTTTCCTTTTGCTCACTAATCTGACACAGGTTTATCCCAATCCCATGAACCCTGCCAAATCCCAACACTCCGTCCAGTCCTTTTTTCCAGACCACCCCATTTTCCGTTCTTGACTTTGCATCAGCTTAGGTCAGTCTCTCGCTCCTTGTGTTCCAAACACCCTTCTCCAAATCAGTTTCCGGCACACACTTGTGATGCCTTCCAATGCTGTACTCCCCATATCAGGTCTTCACTCATTCCTAGACTCAAATGGCTATCTCACGATCTTTCTGAATTTGTTTTTTGTGTTAGTTAAACATAGGATACTTAGTGTTGTATAAATCTCTCTGGCTATGTCTACACTGCCACCCTAGTTCGAACTAGGGTGGCTAATGTAAGCATTCGAACTTGCAAATGAAGCCCAGGATTTAAATATCCCAGGCTTTATTTGCATGTTCCCGGGTGCCGCCATTTTTAAATGCCAGGTAGTTCGAACTCCCTGCCCGCGGCTACATGCGGCACGGACTAGGTAGTTTGAATTAAAGCTCCTAATTTGAACTACCATTACTGCTCCTGCAATGAGGAGTAACGGTAGTCTGAATTAGGAGCTTTAATTCGAACTACCTAGTCTGTGCCGCGTGTAGCCGCGGGCAGGGAGTTCGAACTACCTGGCATTTAAAAATGGCGGCACCCAGGAACATGAAAATAAAGCCTGGGATATTTAAATCCCGGGCTTCATTTGCAAGTTCAAATGTCTACATTAGCCACCCTAGTTCGAACTAGGGTGGCAGTGTAGACATACCCTCTGTGTGTAACCCACACCTCGTGTGGTTCACTGCCCCATGTAATAGCATTTAGACCACTTCCAGTGAGAGATAAGAACAAGGGAGCTCTACAGCTTAAGTTGTATCAGCTGGTTTTATAGCTCAAGCTGTAGAGGCTCCTATACTAAGCTCCATAGGTCCCAGGTACAAAGCCACCCAGTGTCGGTGACAAATGTGTTTTCAATATGACTTTGGTTGGAGTATCTAAGCCAGAAGTGGGATAAATGTGGTCAGGGGGCTGCCTCTGACCCACCAAGCCACTGGATTTGGCCTGCAGGAGCCTCGGCCCAAAAAGGAGTCCTAACCCATGGACCTCAGCCAGGCTCCCTGCCTGCCCCACTCTGCTCAGAGCAGCTCTCTGAACACTGCTAACCCAGGGGGGAAGATTCATGCACTACCCCCAGCCCCAGCACAATCTCTCAGCTTCTATTGGCTGGTTTCTAGCCAATGGGAGCTGCCTGTTTGCAGGACAGGCAGTGCATGAAGTATCTCTAGGCTCGCAGCTGCAAATGGCTCCCGTAGCTGGGGCAGGGACTTAGAAGGCAGGGATGGGAACCATCCAAGTAAGTGTCTACCAGCCAAAGCCAAAGCCTGCCTCTGGCACCCCAGTCCCTCCTTCCCCCCAACTCTCTGCCTTTCTCCTGCTCCTCTTACCCCCCCCCCCCGACCCTGCATCTTGCTCCTGCATCCCTTCTCCCAGTCAGAATCATCTCCTGCACCCATTCCCCCTCCTGGACCCTGCATGCTCTTCTGCACTCAAGTCTTCTGCCCCAGGTCACAACCTTCTCCTTCATCCAAACTCCATCCCAGACCCCATGCCCCTGCACCCTAATCACTTACCCCAAGTTCCTTTCCGCACCCAAACTCCATCCCAGACCCTACACAGACCCTGCACCTTCTCCATTAATATAATGGAAGAGTGCTGCCCTTGACCACTTACCAAACTCTTGAAGTGGCCCCTCTTCAAAAATTATTTGCCCACTCCTGATTTAAGTACTGCAGGGAAAGGAAGGTTCACATTGAGCCTGCCAAAGAAACCCACTTTTTCTCTTCACCTCATCTTCATCTGCAGTCCATGCATGCCGCTTCTGTGTGATGGTTTTCTGGGCTAAGGAGTTTTACAGCATGGATACCCTCCACTCAGAATACACCGTCTGCAGCCCATAGGAACTTTGTCTCAATAACCATGAACTTCTGCGTCCATGCCTGCCACTTGTGCCTTGTTGGATGGTGGAGGGTGAAGTTGTCACCAAGACATGTAGGTCCCGGCTATTAATTGACTCTCAGATCAGGACTGACACGTTGAACAGGATCCAGAATTGGCTCAAGAACCAGTGGAGAGTTTTGTTGAAATGTGTCCTACCAATTCATTTTATTTAGCAGCTTGGCTTCAGTATAATGAACTGTAGCTTCCATGTGGCCTTTGCCAACAGTCCCCAAGTAGGGTGACGTCCAGCATGATGAAGGGATGTAACATTGGCTAAATCCACATCAAAGAGGAAAGGACAGTCTGTGGGCTAACTGTAGTTGAATAAAGGCATTTCTGGCCCATTACTGTTTGGGTGCCCAGGAATGCAGTTAACCCAACAGGACCCTTAGAATGTCCAACGCACGCACGCACGCACGCACACACACACACACACACACTCTGAAGTTAATTACTTATTACTGCTCAAATGGTCCCTACTCTGCTAATATTGCCTGAATTGCAGTAAGAATAGCCAGGAGCTGTTTCCTAGCTAGGCTGAAAAGAGCAGCTGTGATTCTAGTAAACATTTCTACGTTTGATCAGTTCTAAAATTCACAAAACTGGTCATATCGGCCTCAAATTTGATGGGCTAGTTCTGAGACAGGGTTAGAGTTTCTCAACCAAACATGAACAAAATCAGACACAATGTTCAGGAACTGAATCCTAAAAACCAAGTCGTTCATGGGCGCTCAAGGTTTGTCATATTTTTTTAAAGGTAGCAAGAACTTAATTAATTGGACTTGCTAGTTGAGAAGTGAGACAGCACCAGAGTTTCATAGTTTAAAGCCACATTTCAAAAGCAGTTGATCTGAATAATGTTTGTAATCAAAAGGAAGTTGCAGTAACAGTGCAGCTTTAGCACACAAATCAGAATGTCTTCCGCAGTTACTCTCAGAAGCATGTGCTGGCCAGGAGCACTCTGAGGTATTTCAGGAATTTAGGAGCAGCTGGGGAAGTGTAGTTCTTCCCCGCCCCCATCCCAACTCACTGAACCTCCTGCAGCTATAGCATGCTAGAGATACATATCTGCACTACAGCAGCGTAGCTGTGGTGCTATAGCGGTGCTGCTGTAACACCATCCTTTAGGTCTTAGGTAAATGGAAGGGTTTTTCCAGTGTAGTTAATCCATTTCTCTGAGAGGTCGTAGCTAAGTTGATGGAAGAGCTTTTCCATTCACCTACCTGTGTCTACAGTAGAAGTTAAGGGTGATCTAATTATGTTTCACAGGGCATAACATTTTTCACAGCCCTGAATGATATAGATAGGTCCATCTAATTTTAAGTATAGCCCAGGCCTACCTCTTCCCTGTGTTAAGCTCCATGAGGCCTGCTGGCAGGAGAAGGGAGGAGAGCTGTGTGTACTGTTTCTAATTTAAGCCGCCATTCTAGGAGGGGGATATACACCCAAGCTCCATGAGGCCTGCTGGCAGGAGAAAGGAGGAGAGCATTCTAGGAGGGGGATATACACCCGAGCAAGTCACTGTGATGTGCCTATAACGTTCACTTGATTTGTGTAGGAATCTGCATTTAGTTTCTCAGCCAACCTCTCCATCTTGGACATTGGAGCTACTGGGAGAGTATTGTCTCCATTTCAGGATTAGGAGATGATAAAATGGGGAGTATCTATGATGTCTCTTTCTCCCTGTCGTTTCTCCCCCACAGTGGCTTTACTCAGGTGAAAAGAATAATTAAGAGGTGGCAGCCCCTATGGGCAAGCTTCAACTCACCCCAAATCAAGGTCTCAGAGTGTGAACCTTGAAATTGGGGCTTATAAATGTATCATGTAGATAAGAACATTTTGTCATTAAAGTTAAATACGGTGGAAAATTAATCCCTTTCTAAAACATTAACATTGAGACTTTTAAACCTGGCTAAGGGATTTGGACACCCAATTCCCAGTGGAAAGTAATAGGAACTGAGCATCCAAATGACAATAGGTGGATTTCAAACTCCCACCCTAAGATAAAAGTGACTAGTGTTGAAGGTTTTATTTTTAAAATGTTGATAAACTTCCAGCATAAAAGCACATTAGGCAAAAGTCTGGGGGCAGGCCGGCCTTAGAAAGGAGGTAGGCAATGTTCAAGTAAAAGTTAGGGCTCACTCATCCTTTTGGTCTAAGCATATTACACATGCCACTGTGGCATGTCACAAGGGCAGAGTCTGTCTAGTTGCAGAATTGCAACAAAAACCTGCTGCCATGTGGTAGGAAAAGGAATTTGTGCCCCCTCTCCTTTGGAAATTGGAGCTGAAGCCACCTGCCCCTGGCAAGGCTGAGTTGGGTGCAAAACTCACCTTCAACTTTGGAGACGAAACCCAGGCTCCGTTTGAGGTCTGAGCAGATGGAGTGGAGGCACCAGCGGAACTTGGCATCACAGCGGTATTTGTTGGCTCCGCAGGTGTCATAACAAACATCCAGCTGGTTACAGCATTTAGTCATGGCAGGGATGCCTAAATCCAACTGGAGGTAGAGGAAGGGCAAGATAAGACAGCACTGCTCAGGTCTTGTACTCAGCGAAGGGTCTATTCCCCTTACCAATGGTAGTGATGCCCCACTTTCCCCAAACCACCAAATGCTGCTCCTTGACCCAACATGTTTATGGTACAATTCCAGTGTTAATGCCATAGTTGTAACAAACAGAGCTGTAAGGTCAAGAACAAATACACTGTTTTTTGGTTTATATTTTCCTGATGGTCTGTGTGTTATTTCTTGTAACACACGTGAGAGTTATGCATGGGCCTGCTCAGATCAAGGTGGGAACGAAGCCCTTCTTTGGTAAATTACTACTAGACAGTGTTTCTCTTCCACATCCCCAGTGTAGGGGTCTCATTTCCCCTCCTGGCTTCTAGCACTCGTGAATGCAATCACGTGCAGGAGAAGACAGAAGCCTCCAGAGGGGCTGGTGATGGTGTCCAGTTTAAGGAACTAATATAATTTAGTCCATGAGGGATTTTTTTTAACAGAAGTTTAATTGGTGCAGATTCTGGTGGGAACAGAAGTAGGCTAATTAGCCATGCCGGCTTTTAGAGGCTCTTCAAGGAACATTCTCAGCCTACAGATTAGCTTGATTAACTTTGATTTCATGGATTGCTTTAAAATATAACCACTGTATACAAAGCATGGAAGCCAGTTGAATTTACTTAGCACTCAATATTGAGCCGGGGAGTGCTAAAAAGGGTCCAAAGGGCTGCATAGTGGGAGATTTATGAAAGCAAACACCAATCCTCACCTGGAAATTGGCTTTGCAATGAACACCAGGCATTGCCATTTATCTTTACCATGGAATAATTGAACTGCCTTGCACTGAATGTTCCCTGGTGATGGATCCAGTTAAAAGTGTATGATCCTTATCTGGATTTCCATTAAGTAGGTTCTATTGCACCAGTGCTCTTTAGCCAATGCACCAATTCCTTCTGAACGGCTTCTGTTGCCATCCTTTGCTTCTCCGGAAGCAAAGGGGACATTATCAGCTAAGGAGACCTTATCTGACAATAAATATAAGACAATTGGAATTTCATATCATCCACCCACACGTTTAACTCCTATTGGCAGGATTATTCATCTACTGCAAGCAGCAGCCACCAACATTTGGAAGCTGATCACTCTGCAGAGAGTAAATTAATGGTTATCCTTAAAGTTACATTTTCCCCTTCACTTGCCATCATGGGCAGCCATAGAATCATAGAGCTGGAAGAGACCTCAGGAGGTCATCAAGTCCAACGCCCTGCCCAAGGCAGGACCAATCCCAACTTAAATCAACCCAGCCAGGGCTTTCTCAAGCCGAGACTTAGAAACCTCTAGGGATGGAGATTCCATCATCTCCCTAGGTAACCCATTCCAGTACTTCACTACCCTCTTAGTGAAATAGTTTTTCCTAATATCCAACCTAGACCTCTCCTACTGAAACTTGAGACCATTGCTCTTTGTTCTGCCATCCATCACTACTGAGAACAGCCTTTCTCCATCCTCTTTGGAACCTCCCTTCAGGAAGTTGAAGGCTGCTATCAAATCCCCCCTCACTCTTCTCTTCTGCAGACTAAACAAACCCAAATCCCTCAGTCTCTCCTCATAGGTCATGCGCTCCAGCCCCCTAATCATTTTGGTCACCCTCTGCTGGACCCTGTTCAATGCGTCCACATCCTTTCTATAGTGGGAGGCCCAGAACTGGACACAGTAGTCCAGATGTGGCCTCATCAGAACCAAATAAAGGGGAATAATCACTTATCTGGATCTGCTGGCAATGCTTCTCCTGATGCACCCTAATATGCCATTAGCCTTCTTGGCTACAAGTGCACACTGTTGACTCATATTCAGTTTCTCATCCACTGTAATCTCCAGGTCTTTTTCTGCAGAACTGCTACTTAGCCATTCTGCTAGACAATGGCAAACCTAGCCAGACAATTTAATTCTATAATACGATATGATTAACTGTCACAGCAATTTTTGAGCCATACCCTCACGTTTCCGAAGAGCTGTCTGCAGCCTATCATATCAACATCACATATCATAACCGGGCCACATTTTTAACTATTTGATTTTTTTTCTTTTAGCTGATTATTCTGGTTAGTGAATTATTTTATTGGAGAATTAGGTGTTAGCAACAGTACATACACTTTCTGGTACCTTGAGACCCAGGAAGTAGGAACTGCAGCCATTGGGCTCCTGTGGCTTGTAGTTTGGTCTTGGCATTGGAGCCTTCCCTGGAAAAACAGAGAAATATGAAAAGTCAGGTGTGTTGGTCCTGACAACAGAAATGCGTAGTTGAGTGCAACTCAGATTGTGATGCATCGAACTTAGAGGTAAGCACAGGTTCTTTGCTTTTGGTTTGTCAAAAGCAAAGAAACATTGTACAAGGAAAGTCTTAAATACAGCCTCCTACAGGCATACCAGCTCCACTGAACACCCAGGATATGTCCAGAGAGAGAACCATCATCTGTCTAATCGCTTGTTTTAAGAAGAAAAGCATGAGCTGCTCCTTTTAGATCAAGTGATACACAGCACAGCACTCCCTGAGGACTAGGGAATGGGCAATGCCTCATTAGGGTCAGGCATTGGCAGTGTCATTGGAACCATTCTTATAGTGGGGGTGCTGAGAGCCATTGAACCAAACTGTAAACCCTGTGTATAGGAGACACCACTTCAAGTTAGGGTGCTGCAGCACCACCGCATCCCTAGTTACAGCGTCTATGGACGGTTGCAATTCGCGCAATCAGTAGCCTTTTAAGAAGGGCCAGACCATTGCTGGTTTACAGCCTGGCCCCCTCCCCCCACTGGACAGTCTGTTGTATATGGACCCAAATATGGGTCCCATGTGCTTCTAAATCAGGTGGGTCTGGGCTGGGCCTAGTTACTTTTCCAAGCTCTGCACCTCCAGCTCGCGTTCTCGGGCCTCTTGTCTGAGTACTTCTTGGGGAGATGGGGACTCTGCATTCCAGCTGCCTCAGATCTCCTGAGCTACTCAGTCCCTGCTACATTCTCCACCCGGGCAATATTCAAGTAGGAAAGAGAGGGGACATCCACTTTTGTGTAATTGTTGGTAATAGAACCCTCCACAAGGGACTTTACATTTCACCCTGCTGTTTATTTCTTTCAACAGAAGCTTGGGACAGTGGGGCCCCCAGCATTGGATACTCAAGCCCCGGGCACACTCAATTACTCTGCCCATCTTTACCCAGCCCCATGCAGTCCTGGTCTGGAAATCATGACTTCTAGAGCTCTTAAATGTTAAAGATAGGTCCCTTGATGTTGGGACAGGTCTGAGAAAGAGGCAATGACCTGCACAATGCTGCAAATCCCACCTGTCCACTCACCCACAGAGCCTGGCATCTGAAGTTGGGGAAACTGTCTAGAGAATTGTTTTACTTGAAGCTTCTTTTGTTTGGATGCCTGTAAATATGGTTCTTGGTTTTTCACCAATGCCTTGCCCACAAAAGTGCCTCACTATCCCGCCAATATTTTTCAGTGAACAGCCACATAACCATAGACACACACACATACTTATTTTGGGTTATGTAATGTGCATTCTCAGTCCTCCACAATGCTGCTCTCTGCTGGTGAAAAATCAGGAACCATGTGAGGCTATGTCTAGACTACACCCCACAATTTGCATGCCTTTTTTCAATAGTTTTTGTGGAAGAGGCTTTTCCATTTGGCCCGCCTACACTACAATAGTTTTTGTGGAAGAGGCTTTTCCATTTGGCCTGCCTACACTAGGCCAGATTTCGGAAAAACCTCCTCTTTCAGAAGAGCCCTTCTTCCTTGTGGGAGGTGGAAGACAGGGCTTCCAAAAGAGCGTGTCTGCTCTTCTTTTAAAAAAAAAAAAAGCAGAAGAACAGACACATTATCCCGGAAAAACCCCGTAGTGTAGACATAGCCTCAGTTGGCAGCCAGGAGAAGGAAGAGTCATTATCAGAATGAGATGGATATGGCCATTACAATTAAGTCCTGACCTGTATTTTGGCAATGCAGCTTAGCAGTGTTACAAGGCTGAAAATAAAAAGAGCAGCAGGAAGAATTTGTAACACTTGTCCTGAGGAAAAGAGACTTGATCTTTTAATTCCTGTTATAGTTGCAGGTGGCTGGCTTAGGTCAAGGGACCCTGCATTTATTCTTCCTATGAACAAATTAATTTTATCTCAGCTGTTTTGGATTCCACCTCCCTAGTTTGCAGCTTCAAATTCCTGAACTGGGGGAGAACAGCATGGACAAATATGACTATGTGGATCATCAAAAGACCCACTGTTAAGCAGCGTAAGAACTGATCCTGCGAATCAGTGGGATTCTTTTGGGCACACAGACACTGACTACAGGCTTTGTGAAACCTTAATCTGAATAAAATGGTTTTCTGTTTTAGTACATTTACACACTGGCCTGCAGTGCATAGAAACACAAACCTGCACTGGTGCTGAGGAACCAAAAGTTACCCTGACCAATTTATTTCAAGTCTCATGATACTGCCCTAATAATAGGAACCCTAGATATACACAAGGTGGACTCACTGTCCCAAGTGAGTAGAATCCAAAAAGTAAACAACTGGCATTAATGGTGAATTCTTCAAGCTTTAATAATTTGAGATGTTAGTAATGGAGTTGAAAGATCCTTTCCATTATGATCTTTAGTTTGACACTGACAGTCATTCATTTCCAGAGAAGGCTTCAAAACACGCCCTCTTATGCTATTTCAGCACATCATTTGACTCTGGCTGGAGTCCTGGTTTCACATAAATGCTCTGTTATGAAAAGCCTTTAGAACATGGGACTTGCTATGTGTGGGCATATTTTAAATTTGTATGTGGTGGTTGTGGTAATTGTAAGCGGCATATTTTAAATTTGTATGTGGTGGTTGTAATTGTAAGATGGGTGGAGAACATTTTGGCTTAATTTTTCATTTTTTAAAAAATGTTGAGTTAATGTGTTGCACAAATGTGGGTGTGAATTTCCTCTCAGCATTTGTCACACCTACATGGATATCTCCCATCTCCCAGGTCACAGTAACCAATGAGAGGTGCTTTACATGTTGATGGGCAACCTCATCCTTCAGCAAATGAAGCCACTAATGTTTCCTCCCCTTTTTGTAGCTACAGGACTGAGAGACAGTTGGAGACATCCCAATAGCAGTGTGGCAGCTAATATCTAGTCTGTATTTTCTTCTTCAGCAAAAAAACCACTCTCCTCATACATTAAATAAACTGAGGGATTTGTTTTTAAATTGAACTACTTAAAAGAAAAAATTGGAAATCTCAAACAATGGTCAGCTAAGGATGAAGTGTCTCTTACAGTGTTCCCAGCCCTAACTTCTGAAGGGCTGGGACAAATGAAATGCTAGGTGGGGGGAGAGGGGTTTTTTGGTGGTTGAAATACTGGTGCCTCTCTGTCCTCCCTTTGCTCCCTTTCTCGTAACCTCTCTATGTACATTGTTCTACCTGATAGTGGCAGTTATGGCTGTCTACTGTCATTCAGGAGCTCCCCTTATGAGTCATCAGACCCACAGGGTGCCACTGTCACAAAGCTCTGGCCTCAGGTTGTTGACAGTGTTTGTCTGCCAGTTTCTCCTCTCCCTCCCACCTTCAGAGGTAAAACGTTCCTTGTAGCAAATCTCCTGATCTCTTCAACACAAGTTGAGCAACTTTATATTCAAGGATGCTTTTGTCTACAGACATTTTAGACTCCATCCAAAAAACTTTCCCCTTAAATCCGGTCTCAAATTGACTTGTGCCTTTAAAAAAGTTCTAAAGTCCAAGACACAGCAACTCTCTGGGACAGTCCTGAGTGTTAAGGGTTCTTGTAGCCATGACAAGAGAGAGATCTTATTTACCTTTGGGTTCTCTTCCCCCCTCCCACCATCATTACTAATCTTAGAACTGCTGAATAATTAAACCCTGATGGCTGCAGTGATTGTTGCAACCTGCCTGGTCTGCTGTTTGTGAGTCATTGAAACTCCACCTACCAAGCTAATAGATTTGTAGAGCTAAAGTCTGGAAGAGCCCTTACTCTTTGTGCTTGCAAAGGCTGGGCTAGCTAACCAAACCTGATGCATGTTAAAGAAACAAACAAAAATCATCACTGGGTTATACAAAATCCTTTTGTTCTTGAGTGTTTTGGTCCCAAAGTCTGTTTGGGGTTGGTCCCTTAGTCTGGGGTGTCTTTGTCCTCTTCTGAAGAGTTGTCCCCTGCTTTGGGGCCTTAGATGACTGAGAATTGAAATTTGTGATGACTCATAGTCTCTTCTCTCCCCTTACCCCTAGTAGCAGAACAATCCAAAGGACCCCATCTTGGTCCCTATACACCAGGCTCAGTTATCAGCACACAGTTGAATTATCCATTCCTCCTCCACCCATTAGTTTTTTACTTGCTAACTTAGTACTGGGAGAATAACATGCAAAATTCAGCCATATGCCCTGGAAACAGATACAAAATGTACAAGATTTGTGTCAGGGGAGAGTATCAGTTGCGTTTGCCCTTCCCCTCTTCTAGCTCAAACTTGATTTGTGTCAGGGGAGAGTATCAGTTGCTTTTGCCCCTCTTCTAGCTCAAACTTCAAACCTCTAGCCAATATCTTACCAGATCTAGCTCTGAAATAGGTGCACCAATTCACAGGGCAGGTGCCTGAACCCATGGGGCCCTATAAAAAGGAAAGAGGCCACTTACCATATCTACATCTGTACTGACAAACCCCATTTTTTCCTCCTAACAGCTCTAAAAAAGAATCAAAATAGCTATTAACAGTTTCAAAGCCATTTCGGAGGCTCCCAATGCCCCAGTCTGCTGAGGACGATTCCTCTGCCGGTGCTTGGTTGACTGTGTTGTCCGGGGTTATTTCTTCATCACATCTTCCTAGACTCAGAGCCAGGCACAGAACCATCATCTTGACAATTAGCTTCATCTTGCAGTCAGACCAAACAAATCCAGGATCCCGAAACCCTAATGCATAGGCACGCAGTGTGGTGGGAAATGGAGCTGGGCTATCTTCGGTACAGGGCACGTATACTACTCTCTCTGCTGGACTTTAAACACTGCTGCAGTAACCAAAGTGAGGTCATAGCAATTAGAAAGTGCAAAGGTCAGACAAAGTGGAGATTTGGTCCAAGTTCAGTTCATAAAAGCGGAGAGCGGAGGACAGTTGCATAATACTTTGAAATGGTTCAAATACTTCAGCAGAGGGAACTGATTAGTGTTTAATGGGGGGAAGGGACGGTCCCTCCTTCAAATGACAGTTCAAGTATGCTATCAGACCATGATTAGCTCATTGGGGATTGGTAGCTAGTCATGAGTTCAGTGAAACACCCTGCCTGCTTGTGGATTAGACAGATTGCCACACAACCCTTCCTGTTTGTTTGTTTTTTAAATCTCCCCTGTCTTGGGAGGTGGGGTGGGAACTTGTAAATCCTCCTCAGGCTCGAGACTGTCCATGCCAAGACAGTGAGACAAGTGTCAGATCAACAAGAATGTCCCTACTCTGTCCAGCAAGGAGGCTTTCCTGGTCAGGCAGACTTGAGTGGGCCTTCCATCAGGCCAAATGTTGCAGTCAGAGCATCTTCTACAGCATTTGTGGGTGCAAATGCTCTCCTGTAAAGCATTACAGCATACTGTATGGTGATTCTGCATTTTCTCCTTGCACGTTTGCTGGGATTCCTGCAGTAGCTGGTGTAGCAGTAGTCTGACCAACTCTACCCCAAATGGGGGAATCCCAAGGATCAATTATGGTGCCTGACAAAATGGTCGTGGGCCACCTGTGAATCTTTGTGATAAAGATAACATACCGCCAGCCGTGCTTGTTCAAACATATCAGACCAGTGATCCATGCTGTACAATTTAAAGCTGCACCTCTAAATGTCTTCATTCCACAGCATTGTTGTTCCTCCTGAGCCTGAGATCCAGCCGGCTTAATGGATTCATCTGACCTCCAGATAAGACTAAGGTTTTGGAGAAATTATTTAAACCATTTGTTCTAGTCCCTCTGGTTATAAAAAAATACTTTCCCAATCTGATGCAGTGGACTGCTGTCTTCCTAAGGCTGCAGGTAGCCTGAAATGTGTTACTGAGAATAGTGGCATCGCTAAGTTATTAAACTTTTAGGGCCAGATTTTCTAGCAGCACAAGCTCTGCTGGAGGTATGAAAATTAGTGACTTATTTACAAGCCACGCTGGTAGTTTAAATGATTTTGTTATGAAGTGCAGTAGAGAATGCCAGTAACCTTTCACTATGCTTTGAGCCTGCAAAGCCTCCTATTAGAGGTAGTCATTGCTCTCACAAAGCAATAGAATCGTGAGCATTCTACTGTGAGTAAAGACCCATTGAGAAAAGGGATTTCAGGACTGGACCATCTGTTCACACAGCTTCAAGATATTCCTAAATGGCTTGAACTATTGAAAACCAATGAAGAATGCTAAAGATTTATTGCTCTCGAAATAGAGACCCATCTCAAATGAATTCAGCGTTCACACTTTAAAAAGCTATATTCAGAGTCTAGTTCTGCCCTTGTGACTTTACAACTAAACTTCAATAGTAATTGCCTGCTTGGGCCAATCTGGATCTGCAAGATTTTTGGTTAGACAGCTGATGAGACTCACAGTCTTACAGAGAGAGAAATGGCGGAGTTTACTTACTGGAATGCTATGCTATAACACGGTGTGAGTGGCTGCACACAGAACAATTTCAGGGCATCTGCTCTGTTTTGGATGAGTGAAGGTTCATTTGAACCACGTTTCTAGAGATGTCATCCAGAAAGACTGGACTGAGAATCCAGCTTCAGTGTAACACAATTAAATAAATAAATACAAATCATTCATACAAAACAGGATTGCTGTATGCACATTGCCTGTACAATTGGGATAAAACTGAATTATCTCTGATGTCCAAATCCTTTCTTCCGTTGAGCAGCTCATCCAGTAAAGGTGGTTCTGTACCTTCCAGAACTGGTGTTCGAGATGTGTTGCTCACGTCCATTCCAAGTTAGGTGTGTATGTGCTGCAAGCAGTCATTAAACAGCTTTTCCCTAACAGGAACACGTAGGTCAGCAGAGGAGACCCCCTAGAGTGGCGCCTGTATGGCAAGGTATACAGTCCACTGCCAACCTGCACCGTCCCTCGTTTCCTTCTTGTTGGAAGTTACTCCAACAGAGGAGAGATGGGAGGGTTGTGGAATGGATATGAGCAACACATCTCGAAGAACATCTCGAAGAACATCGCCGTTACGTGGATTATTTTCAGGAATAACGGCATTGCGCAAGAGGGTTTTTCTTGCGCAAGAAGGGGCAGTGTAGACAACTCTTTTTGGCACAAGAGCCTCTTCTACAAAAATGGCGACTCATTAGATATGCAAATGAGGCTTGACAATATTCCACGCTTAGTCTCATTTGCATACTTCTGGCGCAAGATCGTGCCAGTGTAGACATAGCCTAAAAGTGGGATAACTGGTCTCCAATCATCAGGACAGGATCCAGGAACTAGAGTGGTAAGCCACCCTCAGACACATCTTCAAAAGTTCTTCCTAGGCCCAGGCAACTGCCTATATGAGGAACAGCCTTGATTCCCTCCCCCCCTCCCCGTTACTGTTCACACTTGGCAGGGAGGGGGTTGTCTACTATTCCTTCTATTGCCCCTTCTACTCAAATCCTGCCTCTGGTGGGAGGGGTAATAGCATGGTACCGATAGTGGCTTAAAATGTTTACGCTGGGTAGCTGGCTTATACTTCGCCAAGGACTTGAACGTAGCCCTGCTCTGTCTCAAGCTGTGAAGCCTCGAGTCAGTCTGCTCTGCGAACCAGCCTGAGCCATCAAACCGCAGGTCCTGAATTGTATTTTGGACCTCTGGGGGAATGCCCAACACCTGGAGCCATGAGTTACGTTTCATAACAATGCCCGTAGACATTGTGCAAGAGGCAAAGTCCATCCACAGTATCAAGGGACGCCTGAAGGAAGGTTCGGGAGATCACCTTGCCCTCCTCAAGTCCACAGGCAGGAGCTCCTTAAACTTATCCATGGTTGCCCATGAATTATAATTGTAGTGGCCCAGAACTGCCTGTTGGTTTGCAATTTTAAACTGGAGACTGCCAGATGAATAAACCTTCCTTACTAAGAATGTCCAACTTTTTGGAGGCCTTGGACTTAGGAGTCAGGCCCTGTTGACCTTGCTGTTCCTTGGCATTAGCCAGATTGACAATCAAGATACCTGGATGCGGGCGTGTTTACTGATATCCCTGAAACAGGGCAAAGTACCAATGCTCAACTTCCTTGGCAGTTAGGGGAAACTGATGCTGGGATTTGCCACAAGGCTTTCATGGTCGAGGAGATCTGCTTGAGAAAAGGATGGCAGTCCTAGAAGGCTCCCCGGTGACAAAATGTCCACCATCCGATTTATGTCTTCTATGACTCCTTGACTTGTAGGCCCAAGTTCTGAGCCATAGAATCATAGAACACTAGAACTTGAAGGGAGATGACGAGGGCATCACGTCCAGTCTCCTGCCCTCACGGCAGGATCCAGTACTGTCTAGACCAGTGGTCCCCAACGTTTTGAGGCTGCCGGGCGCCTGGGGGCGGGGCTGCTCACGCACTGTGCGTATGGGGGCGGGGCCGCTCACTGGCCACGTGACTGGGGGCGGGGCCAAGCATGCGCCACATGCCCGAGGCCGGCACTGGCATGTGCAGCGATTCCGGGCAGGGACTGCCCAGGTTCCGCGCAGCTGGGGCCAGCACACGCGGCACCCCAGGGCCAACGCCAGTGCCGGCAAGGGCACACGCGGCGCACCCGGGGGCGCACTCGGGGGCCGGGGC